AAGGTCATTCTCAGTCACACAACAAACCAGTTATACTACAAACAGTTCTTGCACTATTTTACTTTGGATAGAATTATTAAGGTTCATAATAAGTCTGGTTATGGATTTATGCAGAAGCTCTTCATGGCGGGTATGAATAAAGAAACCACATCAGTTCATATAAACTATAACCACAGATCACGACAAGGAGGGAAAATGTACGAAAACATAGACCAACGCTGAATCACTGGATCTTTCAAAATGCAGATCAGCATGAACAATGTACCTCTGTACCAAAACAAAAACGAGCAATTAATACAAAACTGGCAGTGTTCGGGCTGATGCATGGTTAATACTCATATCAGCGAATAATCTACTTCCTTTGGAAAACGCCGGTAGTCTCTTAAAGACACTACTACCGCGATTTCCAATAGTATTTGGAATAAATTGGAATGCCCGAAAAACGTTTGGTATTAATCTACTCATCCATCCGTCCGTCAGTCCATCCGGTTATGAGGGAGTTGAAGCTGCGACGTTTTTGAGTGACGCACATCAACCGGACGTAGACTTTTGCATTCTTGAGCCGTGATTTTAAACAATTTTTTGCGCAAATCGTCTCTATAAGGGTAAAGACTCTTAGTAATACAAATTTAGTAGCGTCAAGGCAATTTAAAATGGAAAATGGCTCACTTCCGGTTGACGTGCGTGGCTCAAAAACGGCGCTGCTTAAACTCCTTATTATATCCTTCCGTCCAAGATTATCCCAGAAAAAATGCATGCAGTTTTATCTCGATTTCGAGATAAAACTGCCTACAGGAGATGGATACAATTGTAAAGGTACAATTCTTCGGTTCTCTTAAAATCCATTTAACACATTTTCGCCTTACTGGGAGGTGACTGATGTCATGTGCTGAAATCAGTACAAAGAATGGAATGAGTTTTCACCGTAAAAACTATATATTTAGCAATTATTCCTCGAGCCCGAATGGGTTCTAAGTCAGTAGCCCATGAGGCCGAAGGCCGAATGGACTATTGACGCAGAGGCAAGGAGGGTGAGAGGAATAATTGTTTTAGTAAAATCCACATAGTTGGTCAAAGATATCGAGACAAAACAGCTTTACCTAGCAAAACGCGATTCAACCGCCGTTGGTTTGGTTTTCAAAGCCGGCGCTTTGTCGTTACTAGTGGGCTATAACATATAGCCTAGAAGTAGCTCAACCAATCAGAACGCAGCGTTGATAATAGACCACTAGTTGGATTTTACTATAATTATATTATACTGGTGGCTATATTGACTACCTGTTTGTTCAGGGAGAATAAATTTAATTTTTACTAAAATTATCACCCAGACTCAGACGAATGCCTGAACAACTCTCACAATTGTAGTGAAAATGCCACCTGTACCAACACCGAAGGGTCCTTCAACTGTAGTTGCAAACCAGGGTACATTGGAAATGGCTACAACTGTTCAGGTTGGTTCTTGGAATTCCTGTCTTGCTTTCCGTTATTTTTTGAGACTTCTGGTTTAGTACAAAACAAATAAGGGTTCAGTAATGTACTATGAATTATGATTTTCAGTAAATTATAGGAAATTGTTACTCCCTTTTTTTCAATAATTATTTCTAATCATTTATTTGTTCAATTATTATTTAATTAGTATAGGTAATAGCATGATTAGTAGTGATATTTCGCATAAATGCCACCAGTGATATTTCGGAATTGTTATACGTAATTACGTAAATCATGCTATTATTTGTTTCTACTACTACCCGCGAAAGGTTTGTAATTTTTTCATGTAGGTATTTCAAATTAAGCTGAAATACCACTGCTTTAAGCCAATCAAATTGCAGAAATTTGTCATGTAGTAGTTTAACTTATTCTAACATATATCTCAGTCGTCACGTATTGTGGATAACGTCAGAGCTCATGTTTGCATCATCTTGTAAGGTACATCCTCGGCTAACTTTTAAACAACGCGGAAAAAACGAGAGGGAGTAAACTATTACCCCCCCCCCTATTCTGTACTTCGATGGGATAAAGATAAAATGGTTGATTGAGAAAAGCAGCATCTATTAATGATCGTACTTATCCTTTTATTGGAAAAAAGAGGGATATGGAGTAGCTTTTTCAAGTTTTATGGCCTGTTTACATGAAGGTGGGGGATCCCAGGTAGGTGACGTAACCTGCGGCGGGTCACCCCACTTAGCATGTAAACGTGATCAAATTAAAATGAGAGATTAAATGGAAAGTCGGGTTACTCCCCACCTAAGCGAGATACAACACCTATATGGGGTCCCCCACCTCCATGTAAACTGACAGGCCCTTAGAAGGTGGCTTAGCGGGTGGAAAAATTCTTAGTCACTCACTTCACACAACAAACCAGTTTTACTCTTCTACAAACAGCTCTTGCACAATTTTACTTTGGATAAAAATATAATGGTTCATAATTCGACCCATATTTGATTCCTGCCAAGTCTGGTTGTGGATTGATAAGTGCAGGAGCTCTTCTTGGCCAGTATGAAAAAAGAAACCACATCATGAGTTCATGTAACCACAGATCACCACATTATTAACACTGGGGAAAATTGTATATGTAGAATTTGCACGACCAACGCTGAATCACGGGATCATTCCAAATGCAGATGACGTACAATGTAACTCTGTCCCAAAACAAAAACGAATAATTATACAAGACTGGCAGTAGTCGAGGTGATGTGTGGTTGAGACGCACATCAGCGAATAATCTACTTCCTTTGGAAAATGCAGGAAATTTCTTAAAGAAACCATTACCGCGATGTCCTACAGTCTTTGAACTACCCCAAAAAAGTTAGGTATTAATCTACCCATCCGTGCGTCCGTCAATCCCTTTATTTCATCCTCCAGTCCACGATTATCCCAGAAAAAAAATGTATACAGTTTTATGACCTTTTTCTCGCGTTCGAGGAAAGAGAACACCGTCCTAATCAGTTTTGCTAGGGTACTCCTTTGTTTAGAGTTACTTTATTTATTTTCCGCTTTCATTTTGAAAAATCGCCATATTTTACATTCGTTCAAATTAACATTTCGTTCAAGATTAGTGTTGCGCTGTTGCGAAACTTGTGCGGAAACCTCGACGAAAAGTTCGTCAGCGATCAATCGAGTGGTTTGAAAGAGATGTTCCAGGGATGCATATGGATGAGGTGTTGTTTAGACAAAATTTTGAGTTTTCTCGTGCAGCAGGTCACTTTCCCGCCACTGCAGCGCGCGTCTCTCAGCCGTGAACGTCTGGGATATAATTGAAAACAGAGCATGCGCAGCAATCGTTCACGGCTTCAGCAGGTCGCGGACAACGTTTTAGTGCCGTTTATACGAACACTTTCACGTCCAAGGTAAGCCGTGCCTTGGATAAGCCCAACCCAGAACTCCTCGGTCAGGATAAGCCGCGGCTTGAACTAGCCGTGGGTTGAATAAGCCGTGAACGTAGATTTTGTACCATTTATACGGGGTGTTCGCGGCTTACATAAGCCGGGGCCAGAGTAAGCCGTGGCTTATTTTTTCTCGTATAAACGGCCCTATTGTCTCACCGCCGGGTTGAATTTTCATGTTTTTCTACCTACAAAATCGTCTCTTTTATTTTCAAACACTCGCCCTAGCTCTTTCTCTGTTATCCACGTGAGTGTAAACATCAAAAATAACGTCGAAAAAGACACGACTTTATTGTTGTTTTTTTTTCTTTCTTAAAGTCCGGGCGACCATGTGATTGCGTTGCATTTCGGTTGCCATACCTGTTGATTGAATTATTCTACATTGGTATGCCTGTGGTGCGGACGAACTCTCGGGTGGTCGGTCGGTGTAAAGTCACGTGATCACCAAATTTTCTCGGATGGGTAGTTTATATACCACAGTTTCTTACCCATGGTGCTCCGCTGCGCGCTTCACGCGCGAGAGCTCCTCTATTAAGGCTTTACATTGTCAGTGCTTTCAGCTCTGTAGAGCTAGTGGAACCCCATATCAATGCTTTCAAAGTTCGCTTAGCTGGTAGCGTTAAAAGAAGAGGATAAATGACGGGTATTTGTGAGAGACTGAGCACTGAATCTTGTTGCTTTATCGCATTTTAATACTGTACTGGACATACACCTGTAATTCTGTACCTAAATCCCAAACACCAATAAAAGGCTTCGTTTGATTATTGTTTTGGGGTAAACCCAGTGGAGATTTTAGGGTAATAATATTTTTATGGTTAAGAAGATAACAAGAGGCAAGTATAATTTTGCCAGTGGTTGTTGGGTGTGAATTAGAAAAGTTTGTGGTGTACTAGCTTAGTCCCTTTTCTAAAATATAATTCCGGACTAAAGCTTACAATATATATCGATCCAAGTGCATGATCAGCAGGGTCAGCAGTACGAATAAAGAAAACAGCCCATAAAGAAAAATAGGGCTAAAAAACAAAGGTTAAACAGAATTTTAAAAAAAAAAAAAACCATACAAAGAAACAGAAAATGAGGCGTCGCCGAGAGTAGAACCCAGAACCCACAGCACCACACTGAAACACACACGTTTTGAAAAATTAATTTGGTTATATCAAAACCATTTTTCTAAGCCATAGACGCTTTTTGAAGCTGGTAGAGCTGTATTTATCATTAATTCATTTATACATTTGAGGAAAATTAGCTTAAGCGCGTATTTCAAAGCCATTTTGCATTTTTTCCAGTTCAACGGGCCGCTCGATGTAGATAATCCATCAAACTAGCTTTACTGAATTTGGTGGCGAATTAGGAAATCAACAGAGGCCCAGACTCGAAAGGATTGATATGAAGTTAGGTCGGTTTAATTAGCAAAAGAATATATGAAATATAACATGTGTGATCTGTGAATGGAACCTCCTAAAGCTCACACACTTACGATCAAATTAGCGATATTTGCTAGCTTCTTAGCTTTTTCTCGACCTCGCTCGTCCTAAAAACTGTGGTATCCCTTGTTAATTTGCAAAAGCGACCCGAGGCTCTTGCCAGGTGGAGTGGGTCAAGATATGACTGACCATCATGGCGGCGGCAACGACAGATATTGCTCCGACTGAAATCAATCCACATTTGGTTTTTAACCCTCAAAAGAATCAATTTCAATGGAACAGTGACTTACACTGGACGAAAAAATGAATTTACTAGGGTAGCCAAATTACAGCAAATGTGTAGCAAATACCACATTTGCACAATTTTGCGCAAGAGCAAAGACTGATATTGCACTAGATTTGCTATCCGTAGCAATGACGGTAAATGCCACATTTGCACAACATTTACATCTTGGTGCAAAGATAATGGGCAGCCCTGGATTTGAGGGTCATTTGCAGATGGTTCAAATGTGTAGGGAAATATGTTTCTTTGAACTATATTTGCACATTACGCAAATGATAGCGCAAATCTGCTGTTTTGCGCAGCTTTTCCTTTAGATGTAAAAGCATGTAAACCTGTTATTTTCAGAACGTTTACCCAGCTTTGCAAATGTGAGCGAAGTATCTCATTTGAACAATGTTTGCTTGGGTTACCATGGGTGATCAGATTTTCATAATTGAACCAGATTGCTTTGCACAGCAAATGTAACCAAACTCTTTGTATTAAACATGTTTGCTCACGAAGCAAATGTTAGCAAACCTAAATTTTGAACAAATTTTCTAGGGTGTGCAAATTTGATCAAACACAGAATTTTGGTTGTAGCGGCAAATGTGGTCAAAAGTCAAGTTTTGAACAAAGTTGCTTGGGCAGCAAATCTGATCAAACTGTTACTATTGTACAATTTTTCGCTCAGGTAGCAAATGTAATCAAATTCTGACTTTAATTTGGTTAGCAAATGTCATCAAACCCATAAAATTGAGCATGTTTTCTCAAGTGGCAAATGTAAATTCCAAGGTTTAAACGAGTTTACTTGGGTTGTAGCAAATGCGATAAAATTTTTAAATTATTTTTAATTATAACATGGCTCACTTCAGGTTCTTAACAAGTGGCCATAATTAATCTTGAAGTTTATAGCTTCAAACATTAAAGTTACTGAAAGAAATTCTAGCAGTGACATCCCATTAATGTTCAAATGATTTATTCCATAAACCAAAGTGGCTTACACATTATTACAGACTTTACAAACTACAGTATACAGCTGTACATACAGCTCTTCATATCAAGTTCGTTAATGTTTACTTGTCTCCACTCTATGCTCTATCAGATCATTACTAACGATTAATATGATAAGAAAAGTGTTCTTCATCTAAATGTGTAAGATATTCTACATACAGCTGTAGGTGTTTCAGAGTTGCCACAAACCTATTTCAGTTGTTTAGGTTTTTGCAACTCAGAAACAGGTTAAAAATCCTTTTACCCTTGGACCAATATTTACTTATGACAAGACTATTTCTTACTTAAACTTTTGTATCTAAGGAAAAAATCCTGTTCCAACTAAATGGAACCCTCAAGACACCATTTTAATAAATTAGTATTTTTGTATTTATTGCTATTTACAGATTAAACAAAATTTGATTCTGGTGGCATTTTTTTCTTTAGGCTCTATTAGAATGGAAGGCCTAATTCTTGCTACCAATTTACAATTTTTGCTGGTATAACAACTGGGTTATAGCATTTAGCAAACTAAGAAATAGTTTAGGTACATGTAGCTATTCAAATTTAGATCAGACTTCTTTAACTCCATTTTTGTTGCTAATGGTTTCTGTATAGTATTGGATATGCTCTTAGAGGAAGTACCAGTCGGAGCTTCCAGTACTTGCCCTGTTCTAAGAAAATTGAGGGTCATTAAAGTAATGACCAGCTGTAAGTATTCCACAGCATGTCAACATTACCATTTTCACTGTAGTTGGTCCCAATGAAAGAAGCTAATAATTATTTTAAACTCAGTATACATGTACATGTAGTACAAAAGGTTGATCTGGCTAGCCTGCAAAATAACTACACTGCTGTCTCTCATTACTCTTTTTCCTGAGTCATGTTGCAATCCTTTGCAAAATTCCATACTAAATCATGACAAAAAGCAGGGTGTACCTAAATTTGTTTTGTTTTTTGTTCAAGTAGATCAGTTGCAATTGCTGTAATCGGTATACATGTACTGTGAGGTGGTGCCAGCAGAACTCAAATGCCTCCAGTTAAGCAAATAGATTTAAAAGAAACATTTGTACATTAATTGGCCTTTTTAACCTGCTGACTGGTACATTACTTGCAAACAATAGCCAAAGGATTCTAATGAAAAATTTATCACATCAACCAATTTGATCTACCTGCCACCAGAATTCTCAGGACAAATCAACACCATCAGGATTTGTACTCTTTACACAGATTTATCTTTTTCTAAAAAACAGTGTCATAAACAGAGAGTGATTAAAGGATTACTGTATTGGCAGAGCTACATATACATGTACCTGTTAGTGTAAGTATGACCAGTCATAAATAATCTGGAATTTCTTTAAGAGCATTGGATTAAATTATATTTCCTTATCACAAAGCAAATTCAGGAGCATTATCTGGGGCCTCCTGCTCTGAGGAGAAGCCATTCCTCCTTTCTATTGTCATTGAGTAATGACAGGCTTACATGTGACTGTTTTCAGTTTGCTTTACTGTTCAGCTAGGCAAAGAGGTTTTTACAGGCTAAGTTGTTGACTCCTCCATGCTAGAGGCCTCCTGCAAAGCACTTTTATCGGATTTGTCATCTCCTTGGTCTGTATTGCCTTGCTCTGAAGACATGTACTCCACATTCATACAAGCTTTAAACTTACAACAATCCTTCTTGGAAATAGAGGTTGACTGGAAAAGGGTTGTCTCTAGCTTTTTCTGCAACAAACAGAAATTATACATAATTGAGACCATTAATATTGAAACTAAAGCTGTAGATACTATTGTCCTTTTCTGTCTAAATATTCCAGCCTTTTATAATTATAGCATAAAGGTTGCTTTTAATATTACATGTATTATTACTGGCTGTAGTCACACTAGGTGACTAAACTTACTTATTTCCTGAGTTAACTGATATCAAAATTAACTAGTTTAAACAAATATTGCTGGCTCGTAACTTTCATGTCTCAAATCTAACCCCAAGCGGTCATCATAATCCTGATTACACTGTACCTGTTAAAACTAAGACCTTTGAGCAAAAACAAAACGAAAAAATGAATGCTAGAAACCCTTTTGTAACAAGACAATTGACTCCAGGTAAATCATTGCATTAATTTTATAGTGAGTGTCCCACTACATCACTACCATAACAACATTATTGACATATTACTTAAAACTTCATGGACCTGCTTCTTCTGCAATATTGCCATCACTTACAGTGTATCTTGGGAACAAAAGTTTAATTATACTATAATTGCCTCATATGAGGGAATCCAAGACAGTTTTAGATTCTGGATTCCACGCTGCGGATTCCGGAACCTTTTTCAGTGGATTACTTGGTTTCTGGATTCCAATTGTTTGACCCATATTTCAGGTTTCAAAGCTCAGAATTTAGGATTCCACAACAAAAATTGCCCGAATTCTGGATTCCATAAGCAAAAATTTCCTGGATTCCAGAATCCCTTACATGGGGTGATCATAAAAAAGAATCAGTGAAAGCAGGGTACCATGATCTAAATTCTAGCTACTCTATGTTTTCAGCACCATGGCAGTCACTGCCTTTACTCCCCTTTTAAATTTTGGAAAAGCCTTTGGAGAAAGTAGGCACTAGAGGATAAGGTTATTTTTGGCCTTAGAGGGGAATTAACACTTGCTTCAATTCTTATTAAATTTTCCAAGACCATTTATCTGAAGAGAACAACCAAATAAAAGATTACAGTATTTTTTACAACAACAGGACAAATAAAGTTTCAGGAGTGGAGGTGAGTCCTTGTTGATTACTGAATATTGGGAATGCAAATGTAAGTATTATCAAATAGCATCATTATGGCTTAACAGTAACAATGAACATTACTTTCTTATACTTACTGAGCATTTCTTTTACTCCCGATAATTTAGTTGCCCCCTCAGCATTTGTTTGTCCTTGCATTTCTGCTAACAGCAACGATTCACCGAAGTCTATGTACTAAGTACTCACGGCTGCTTTTCTTGGATCCACTCGTTACTACTTGATCGTCGCCGATGGAGCTATCTAGATGTCTTTCATGGTGGATAAGTGCAATTTCGTTTTCGTCGAACGGTCTATAAGTATGCAGTTCCCTCGAGTTCGAGCGATTATTTTTATAAGTTCTTCGAGGACACATTCGTTCGATAAATTCGAACAAATAAGACTGACCGATTCCTCCATACTCGACAGTCAACCCCACAAAGAAGGAAAATTCGAAACCTCTTGATAAATATGGTGTCAAACGTATGAAGTAAAAGCTGATGGCAAATCGATGGCAATGGAACGTCGTAACGGTCGACGAACTTTGGGCGCAATTTCAATTGTTGTGCCTCGTTCTCGAACGGTTATGCAGACTGTCGCTGACCAGCACCACTGAGGCGCAAGTGTTGGGAAATCGGGCGCGCGGTCTTTTGACGATTTGGCGGGAGGAAGAGATTGCCTATGTTGCTGGATTTTTTCTCAAGGATATTCGAAATTTAAAAGGTAAAGTCGATGTATTTTGCTTTGTATATCGTGCTTCTACTGCCACATCTATGTTATAACCGGGAATAAACTACATTTGTATCCATATTTACATTTGTAGCATTTATGTGCACGCGTGTCGCGTGCGTATTGCAGTGATCCAGCTGAAAAAAGCCTCGTTGAAAAATTTAAGTGGTGTTAAGTCAGCAAAATATGTAATTATGCAATGTTAAAATGCTAATTTATTGGTATTTGGCAGAAGTAGCTCAAGATTAATTGCTTGAGTAATTCATACTACCTCTGGCGCTATATTGACATATTGAGCGTATACATGTACATGTACCATTGATTTTGACAGGGGTAGGGTGGAGCCTTTATTTTATATGCGTTACTGTCATTTTTTCCTGTTTTGTTTTGTCATGTTTTCATATACGAGGTTGTTTTGTTTATAATAGTTTATAATGCTACAGCTGTACATGTAAGCTGAGTCCAAAGGTCGAAAATGCTAAAATGTGCCAGATGTGTATTTATAATGTTCATAAAGTTAATGGCAACACAAGTAACACAATTCATTTAATTTCACAATATTATCAATAAAGGTAGAATTTCCAGTTATATTTAGTGGGTTTAGTGACTTTTTTGTACATTTGTTTCAGATTTTTCCTTGAGTGGTACAGGCGTTAGTTCCAATGTTCTTGAAATTGAGTTGCATCACCTGAACTCTCCAAAAGATAAAGAGGTCAATGAAATACAGGTTCAACATGGGGAAGCTGTTTGTGGTCTGTGCATGAAGAAATGCTACAGGGGTATTCCAGTGGGTCTCAATTTATTTACAGTAATCATTTTTTCCTCTTCACAAGATAACAGAAGTGAAGCTTATATACTGAATGCTCCCATCCATGAATACCCCATCTGTTTGGGGTAAATGTCACAAAAAAGAAACCTCACGTGTACTTCCTTGTGTTATATTTTTACCATCTTTACAATATTATTTTTCTTGTACTTTGTGTCGTGCCCTGCTAAGTAAATCCATGTCCCTTTCACAGTGTTCTGTGGGGAACATAATGTACTGAAATTGTGTGAAGCTATAGAACATTTGCACTCATAGAGGTTTCCCCACAGAGATATAAAGAGTGACAACATTATTCTTACAGAGGTAAACAATATGTACCACCCAATGCTCATTGATTTTGGAGAGGCTATCTTGCTATCGGATGCCCCTTCAAAACAGCAGTCCATGACTGCTCACTAGCACTGACATATAGCTTCAGAAATATGCCTCAGATATCATGTTTTCACTTGGCGTTAATAAGTCATGGCAAAAGTTAGTGGCAAAGTGAAAGCAGAAAGTCATTTTGTGGAAGGGCAAAGAAAATGCCTTCAGACAGATCCAAAGTTGAGATTTACTATTTCATGTCTTCTGTCACTGCTCAAAACAAATTTTTAGCTGGAACCTTTTTTCTGTCCAGCAATTATGAAATATCATATTCCTATTTAAAAAGGAAAATCAAAAAGTTATCTTACTGTGTGAATTCCTGTACTAAATAAATCTATTAAAATTCGACTCATTTAGTGAAAAGGGTATAATAATATTGAAGGTGTAAACCCAGTTGGTCTAAGAAGTTTAGGTTTAAGTGAAGAAATGCACCATGTTAATGTTGTTGAGTGAAGGCTGATATAAATCTCGCCAGTCTGTTTGAGCAGTTTAAAAAGACAAATCATATTGAACTCAAAATCAGGGTTGTAAAGAGCAGCAAAGAAATTATTCGTTCATGTCTGTGCCAAGTTTCTATTCACAAATTATATGAAATACAAAGCAATTTCAACATTTGTTGTAGTATTGGCCGTTGGGCTTTCAAAATGTGGTCATTTTTAGGAGGTTCACTATCAAGATGTGGTCATCTCTAGGTAAAGTCAGTGAAAACTAGAACAAATAGCGGTAAGAACAAAATTGTCAGTTTTGAAGTGAAGTTCCTTGAATAAATGGCCATGAGGAAATTGTGTACAAGTGAATAATCTCAACCCTTACTTTGAAATGCACAGAACTTTTTTTTTTTTGGACCAAATTTAAGGTACTGTGGGTGGCCTTGTTATTGTCAGCTTTTTAATAATAATATTATGATGTAGAAAAAAATACAGTAAATGATCTGACTACTGGACCTTTGTCCAGTAGATTTGTTGTGGTGTATTTACTTTATGTAAAGGGGAGGTAGTGTGGGCCCTCTGTAACTGTATACAACAGTTACTGTGTCATTTTGAATTTTTAGTTTTAGTAATTGGAGATCCCTGCCCATTGTTGGACCCTAGGCTTTACTATTATCAAATGACAGAAGAGGAATGCAACACATGCCAAGGTTATGTACCATTGACTCACTTCGAAGTGGTTATGTGATTTAGAATTGGAACCAAAAAAGACCAGGGCCCAGTTGTTGCAAAGACCGATTAGCACTAAACCAGGGTTAGATTTTAACCCGCGTTTCTTTTTCCTTTTAATCAAAAGCATTTTGTCAGATAATCTTCTCTTTTCTTTTTTATGTATCAAATCACCAAATTGTAGACAAAAGGAATTCAAATGAATTTGTTTTTATAACTTTCATATCTGAATTCATATTTCGTACTAACCTTGGGTTATCTTAACCCAACTTTGAACAACCCAGCCTGGAAGGATAAATGCTGCATGTTAATTTGTTTCACCGCCTTAGTTTTTTCTTTATGGCTTTAAACTTTTCATGATCCAAGGCCAACTCAGAGCTTCTGTAACCCAATAGGGGTCTGTTCATTTTTTATGGGGGGTGGAGGGGGGAGGCTTTATCAGGTGGGATTTGACTGGTAGCTCCTATATATGAAGACCCTCTCTTCATCAGAAATTTTTTTGGGAAGCCGCAACCCCGCTCCTTGTACCCCAAGATCAAATAACCAGGATTCAGGTGAATTTTAGCCAGCAAAAATGCTATGACTTTTTGGATTGAATGGGTAGTACTTAATGAACAGTAAAACTCAAATCAACATTAAAATCAGTGAAACTCAAACTCAGGGTTACAAACAACAGAGTAAGAAAAATTAGCCTTTCATAAATTTGTCAGCTGAGTTAATGTTCAAATAAAATTGTGAGCAGTTTCACCATATTTTGTTGTAGTATTGACTGTTGGGCTATCAAAATGTGGTCATTTTTAGGAAGCCCGCCATCGAGATGTGGTCATCTCTAGGTGGGCAGTCAAAACTACAACAAATACCGCTTAAACTAAAATTGTTGGTTTTAATTTGAATTAGTTTGTTGGTTAAATGGCCATGAGGAAAATTATGTACAAGTGAATAATCACAACCCTGAGTTTGAAATCCACAAAACTTTTTATTTTGGACCAAATTTGATTTTTTAGTATGATGTACAAAAAATACAGTAAATGATCTGACTACTGGACCTTTGTCCAGTAGATTTGTTGTAGTGCATTTACTTGTATAATAAAGGGGAGGTAGTGTGGGCCCTCGATCTGTACGGTATAGAACAGTTACTGTGTGATTTTGAATTTCTAGTTTTAGTACTTGGACATTCTTGCCCATCCTTGACCCTAGGCTTTATTATTATCAAAGGACAGAAGAGGAATGCAACACATTCCCAGGTTGTGTACCATTGACTCACTTCAAAGTAGTTATGTGATTTAAAATTACTGGACCCTAAAAAAGACCGGGGCCCAGTTGTTCCAAAGACCGATTAGCACTAACCCAGGGTTAGATTTTAACCTGCGTTTCCTTTTCCTTTTAATCAAAAGCATTTTGTCAGATAATTTTCTCTTTTCTTTTTTAAGTATCCAGTCACCAAATTGTAGACAACAGTAATTCAAATCAATTTGTTTTTGAAACTTTCATATCTGAATTCATATTTCGTACTAACCTTGGGTTATCTTAACCCAGCTTTGAACAACCCAGCCTGGAAGGATAAATTCTGCATGTTAATCTGTTCACCACCTTATTTTTTTCTTTATAGCTTTAAACTTTTCATGATCCAAGGCCAACTCAGAACTCCTGTAACCCAATAGGGGTCTGTTCATTTTTTATGGGGAGGGGATGGGGGGGGAGGCTTTGTCGGGTGGGATTTGACCAGTAGCTCCTGTATATGAAGACCCTCTCTTCATCAGAATTTTTTGGGATGCCACAACCACGCTTCTTGTATCCCAAGATCAAATAACCAGGATTCAGGTGAATTTTAGCCAGCAAAAATGCTATGACTGTTTTGGATTGAATGGATAGTACTTAATGAACAGTAAAACTCAAAATCAACAATAAAATCAGTGAAACTCAAACTCAGGGTTGCAAACAACAGAGTAAGAAAAATTAGCCTTTCATAAATTTGTCGGCTGAGTTAATGTTCAAATAAAATTGTGAGCAGTTTCACCATATTTTGTTGTAGTATTGACTGTTGGGCTATCAAAATGTGGTCATTTTTAGGAAGCCTGCCATCGAGATGTGGTCATCTCTAGGTGGGCAGTCAAAACTACAACAAAAACTGGTTAAACTAAAATTGTTGGTATTAGTTTGAATTAAGTTTGTTGGTTAAATGGCCATGAGGAAATTATGTACAAATGAATAATCACAACCCTGAGTTTGAAATCCACAAAACTTTTTATTTTGGACCAAATTTGATTCGTTCTGTAAAAAGACTAACGGAAGAAATTTGTGACTGTAAAATTGTCAAAAAAATTAACTGGTTTCTGATTCCTTTAAATTAAGATGACAGTGCATATAAAACAGTTAACAGGAAAGATGCATGTAAGGGGTTGGACCTCTGGGCGGAGTCTCACAGCGTGTACAAAATTTTATTGTAACAATGTAATGTTACAGTTGAGATTGGAAATTTACTTTAGTCACAAAACGAATCAAACATATGGGAAATGTCACATGCACATCACCTTTGACTGTCAGCAAATGATATGCAGTTCACTATATTTGCTCCCCTTGCAAATATGGATAATTATGATACAAATGTTCAAATTTATGATACAGCCAAATGTCTAGAAATTTATTGTTTTTGCTCTTAAGGCAAATACCAATAAATCACATGCAAAAGTGTTCTTTTGGTATCCTGGAAAAACAAGAGCAAACACCTCTGCAAATTAGGGGTTTTGCAATATTTTTGCCTGCATTTGAAGTACAGTGAAAACTGTCATTTTTGCCAAGGATGTAAATTTGAGTAAATTGGTAGAAATGTTGAAGATTTGCCGATGCTGCAAATATGTATCAAATTTGTATCAAACCATTACATTTACTTGACTTTTGCGTATCAATACCTATCTAGCAAATATATGTATTTGCCCACACTTTGGCCGACAGCGCAAATGTAATGCAAATTTGGAGCTCCAAATTTACCACATATTTGCACCTTTCGCAAACATTAGTAAATCCGTTTTTTCGTCCAGTGTTAAAAACTTTACGAGACTTCTGGATCGCTGAACTGGAAGGAGGAGATGAGAATAATTTAGTGACCGTAAACTCCAACGGTAACACAGAGGTGTTAAAGTTTGAATCGGTAACCGTTAACTTCTATTCCTCCACAAAAACTTTACAAGTGCAAGGCTCACAAAAGGATCAGTGTGTAAAAAAGCTTCGGAATATTGCCGAAAAAGGAACTAAATCTCAAGATACTCTGATCGAAGTAACGCCTAACAGTAGAAGTGCTGAGATTACTGAACCAGTGTTGAATTTGAAACCAACAAGTGATCACGATGACCGTTATGAAAAGTTCGAGGCCTTCATCAAAGAACAACGCGACTTTAACAAGAAGACTGAAACTCATATTTCCTCTAACTCCATAGAAATAAGTGAATGCAGGATAGAGTTAAAAGATTTAGAACAAAAGTCTAAAAACCAAGCAAAAGAAGTAAAACTATCCTGCAAAAATCATATTCAAGCGGTTAAGGACGAAATCGGCGAAGTGATGCAAAAGTTAGCAAAGCAAATTGCAAATCTATCCCCAAACTGTCTTCCGATCTAAAAACACTGAAAACTAAAGCATCATCTACTGAGAACTCGATCAAACACATTTTACAACAACTCAATGACAACAACAAATCAAGTGTGTATATCTGAACAGGCACTCATCTCACAGTTTCAAGAAACAAGCCATCAAGACCCTGCATCACAACTTTCAACGGTAATAGCGGACTCAATTGAGTACACGTACACAGCAGCTACGTCAAACAGGTATGAAACTCTAATCGAGGAAAATCGCTCGATCGTTGCATGAATCTATCCCACCAAACACGCAACCTAATCCATCATCTACTACTACTTCAAGTCTCACTGCTACAAGAACGCAACCACCAATCTCCCAGCCCAACGATCAACTTGCTTCTACATCCTCCTCAAATCAGAATCATGTGAACAGCCCAATAAATGAGCGATCATCAAAGGGACCGATGCTTTTATTAGGAGATTCGACGATAAGAGGAATACAGCAACGCAAGTTCGCCCCAAACCGTTGTGTAAACAAACAAACTATCGCTGACTTTCATCGACAACAAAAGAGTAACGTGCGACAACTACGGAAACTTAATTGAGCAAATATTAGGAATTTCTGCCTCGGATGTGCCGTTGGGACCACGGATCCCTTAGCCTATACCAGAGCTAGTTCAGCTGAATTTTGCTACCCTATACTAGACTAAACTCCCCAAATCCCCCCTATCCTACAGTAGCTGTTTTCCAGAAACTACTGAGGTCACTAGCACAGTCTAGTCAAAACAAAACCTTCTACCTTAAAATCTTCAACCAACTGTTCAGTTTCCTGAAAAATGATACCCTATTCTAGACCCAAACGTTCTGATTTATATACCCTATCTTAGAGCAAACTGCTTGAAAACCATGCCCTTCACAGCGGCACATACCTATATAGCCCATATATGGCAGTAACCCCCGTATAACATACTTTGTTTGAATCTAAATTTTATTTTCCTGAAGGGAGCTAAGTTGTTGAGTGAAAAACCCCGCCCCACGCATAAGGGAACTGTAACAGGTGCCTTAAATTACCAACAAGCCCATATCAAATTTCTTTCCATTCGCTGTTATACGCCGGCTTAACCCTCGGACGTACACGCAAGTCATACCCTCACCGTGGTACAATGAGCGGGGGGTTGGGGTTGATGGATCCTCCCCTTATTTCGATATTGGCTTCAGTGGAAAGCCTTTGACCTTAATTCTCTACAAGATGAAGTATATTTTATGTGTGGTGGCTCTGCTAAAGGTCTGTGACGTCACCAAACATAGTAACCATCTTGCATTTTTTCAAGAACTAGGAATCACGTAAAAACGGTGACAATTAATAATGTTTTGCGCTTAACAAGTAAAACAACAAATAAAAAATTACTTTGCATCATTTTATCCAGACGTTTTTCTTTTATTCTTGAAAAAAGTTGAAAAACATGCATTTTCACTCAAAAATGGCTTGATCACCTGCTACTTATGACGTCATATCTCGTATCCATAGTAACTGGCCATCTACAAACTTGTCTTAAAATGCGCGTGAGGGATAAACGAACAGCTATAGAAAAATTAAGGTTTCGATGTTTTTTCGTCTAGGTAAAAAAATCAGAAAAACCTTGTCTCACCTAATTGCAAAGCATCGTTATGAAAACATCACCTGCTAATGTATTACAGAATGTTTGCAGATTTAGGGATATAACTCACATTATTCGCGGCACTTTTCTGGAGACTGTTGTAAGAGAGGCATTTTATGCTTAATTTATACTTAGGCCTATTGTCCATATATGACTTCCTACTTATTGTAAGCTATTTATGATGGTAATAGAGCATGGTGCATCATTTTCAGTGGTACATAATAGGATTCCCCAGTACCGTTCTTCTCTCCTGTAATCCCGACCCAAAATTTTATGCAATACCGTAATCCCGAGGGTTATTTTTCCACATCCCACCTCCCGTGATGCTGTCAATCCCGAATCTTACCCCGATTTTTCTTAAAATCCCGCGTCCCGAGTTTCAAATATGGGAAATTTCGGATCTTGAAATCTATTGGGGGCATTGTATCAGGCACTACGAGGCCTGGAATTCGTTTAAGAGCTCCAAACTATATGAAGCTCTCCTAAAAATTGCCATAAATTTGCGTAGTCACGATCATTTTAAAGTGATGATCTACCTCAAAAACTTGTGAAAGCAGGTGGCTATTAAATGAAGGGGTTACTGATCTAAATTTTCCCTCTGCAAATGTTGTTCACTGCCGAGACAACAAAGGCGTCACTATTGCGGTACCTCTGTCACAGTTTTGTTGTGAATATGGGGCTTGAATCGCCAGTTTTAATAATGTGCCACTAAACACTATCATCGGATCAAAGTCCCTCTATTTATAAACCCTCCTAAAACACCTTAAGAAAATGTATTTACGCAGGGCTTATAAGCCGAACTTTACAATGCGTAAAAAGGCGGTTTAACAACCGAGTGTTATTATAAGAAGATATATTTGATCAAAGAGTAAATGCGGCCAGTGACAAGAGGAGCCCGCAATCCTAATCGCCATCACGCCTGCACTGTACGTATTGCAGGCAGCTTCGCTCGGACTTGCACTAAGAATGCAATGGAATGCAGAAGTCGCAATCTGATAACGCTCGTCTACGCCTGATTTGATTTTCTATCACTAAAACTTGCACAAAGCACAGCATTGGTTGAGCAAGAGCATCATGTCAGACCTTCGCTGTCGTCCGCATTCCATAACCTTTAGTACATAATATATCTTTGTTGTCACATACTGTCCTGCGTAGAATTCATTCAAGATGCATCTTAACTAAAATTGTAATTAACATTCAGATATAGACGAATGCCAGATCAGCTCTCACAATTGTAGCAACAATGCCATCTGCATTAACACCAAAGGTTCCTTTAACTGTAGTTGCAAACCAGGGTATAGTGGGAATGGCCACAACTGTTCAGGTGGGTGCTTGCGAAGTTTTATATATTTACTTAGGCTCCCAATCCTTGCAGGGTCACCGTTACAGCCCTCACTGAATTACTGGGGCCCGTAACAGTTCCTTCCCTCGTGAGAAATAGACCACCACACAGTACGTGGGTTCTTCATCGTCCAAAAGAATTTATTTGTGCCAGGGTAGTAAGATGGGGACTACGATTTATGGTCATTATCCGAGAAGACTAAAAATTCCAACCGTTTGCAGATTTGTTCACCGTGTCTTTTTTTGCACCTGTTTATCTTCTAGTTTTGAGTAATTTTATGAGTAAAAAATAAAAGGCACACAAGCACAGAGGAGCTGTTATATTATGTAAGCGACTCCTCGAAGTATATGAATACAATTTTACTGGTATGATATGCTTTACGCCTCATATCATGTTAGAAACCAAAGTTAAATATATGCGGTTCTTTTCTTATTGACGCAAAGCAAATTGGAAGCGAGTTTCAAAACAAAATTATGTTTATTGTAACATAAGCAGTGCTTGTATATTCTTTCAATAACCAGACGACCACTTTGTCGTGGAATTCCTCTAATACGACAGATAATGCACTTTTGCAGTGTTTCTGTTTATCTTTTCTCGTACTAGCACGTTTAAATTTACTGGGTTTATTCTTCAGACATAGATGAGTGCAACGCTGCAAATAATAGCTGTCATGAAAACGCCTGGTGCAATAACACTCAAGGATCATTCGGTTGTTTCTGTAAACCGGGGTACGATGGAGATGGACAAAATTGTACAGGTAAAATCATCTACATGCCTTTGGTTAACGAATCCACTTTTACGTTTTAAAAACTATGATTAGGGAATCTTTTTTCTTCGGGAGAACGAGGAAACATAGAGTTATAGGGGGGCATGTTCGCAGGCTAAATATGTCTATTATATGAAATGACGTATGCTAATTCTCCTTGTTTACTGCCAGATTGTTGCATTTTTTGTAGTCTCGCTTGCGTAAGCAGCAAGACTCATCATCTGCAACGCGTTTTTCGTCGTATTTAGGACACAAAAGGAGGTTATTGTGCCAGGCGTTCCTTGCGGACACCGTGGAAACTGGGACTAAGAATGGTTGCGTGATCGAAGCCACGAATGTTTAGCAAAGAAAGCTTAGGAAAGATTAAATTTAAAGCTATTCCGAAACGTTTCGGTTCATGAATTCCATCGCTTGAAAGCTTTGATTACTTTGGAACAAGTGAACACTACTGAATGGTCGAAAAAAAAAAGAGAAATCTTAATTAGCAAAACTGAGATGGTCGGGTGTTTGTAAACTTTTATTGTATGCAAATGAGTCTTGTGATGAGCATGCGGTTTATTTTCCGCGCTGATTGAAATGACGTGCCATGTAAACCACTTTTTTGATCTCTGGCAATGATGTTATTTCTCTTGAATCGAGGCCCTTGAATTTCCGTGTATTTATACAGACGTATAGCCTGCGACTGCAGACGTTCTTTGTGGTCGTCGCCAACACGCGTACTAAATCAGTTCAGAAACAAATAAAAAGAATCGATGTCGATAAAGTAGGTAGCAGCAAGAGGGCGCTTTCAGCGGCATTCCGTCTCGCCTGCTTGGAGATTAGATCGAGAAATGAGGAGGCGATTAATTCTACAAGAAACATGATTTACTCGCTAAAGGTTTTTTTACTTCCTACTTTATCGACGTCGATACTTTTTATTCGTTTCTGAATTGATTTAGTACGCGTGTTAGCGATGACCAGGAATACCGCTCCAGAAGCAGGCTATACGCGTGTATAAATACACGAAGATTCAA